TTTTTTTTGTTTGTTTGTTTTCCTTTCTCCCTCCCGTTTTTTGTTGGTTTTTTTTGGGTTTTTTTTTTCCCCGTTTTATTTTTTTTTCCCCCCTCCGGTTTTCCCTGGAATCCCACGCACCCGATCCCTGGAGCCGGGAATGCGGGACAATACAAAACAGATCCACGCGGAGCGGCCGCGAGCAGCGCGAGCTCCATCCACAGGGCTGGAAGACTCCGGGAATTCCCTCGGATCCCGGGAATTCCCTCCGATCCCGGAGCCGCGGGATGAGGGGAGCCGGGATTTGGGGCTTTCTTGGGAAAGGGAGTCCGGGATTTATTTATTGGGAAAGGGAGTCCGGGATTTATTTATTGGGAAAGGGAATCAGGGATTTATTTATTGGGAAAGGGAGTCCGGGATTTATTTATTGGGAAGGGGAATCCGGGATTCGGGGTGTTTTTTTGGGAAGGGGAATTCAGGGATTTGGGGATTTCTTGGGAAGGGGGATCCGGGATTTGGGGATTTTGGGGTTTTTTTGGGAAGAGGAAGACGGGATTTGGGGGTTTCTTGGGAAAGGGGAACCCGGGATTTATTTCTTGGGAAAGGGAATCAGGGATTTATTTATTGGGAAGGGGGATCCGGGAATTTCTTGGGAAGGCGAGTTCAGGGATTTGGGGATTTCTTGGGATGGAGGATCCGGGAATTTCTTGGGAAGGGGGATCCGGGAATTTCTTGTAAAGGGGGATCCGGGATTTGGGGATTTTGGGGTTTTTTTTTTGGGAAGAGGAATCCGGGATTTGGGGATTTCTTGGGAAGGGGAATCAGGGATTTATTTCTTGGGAAGGGGGATCCGGGAATTTCTTGGGAAGGGGAATCCGGAATTTGGGAATTTTGGGGGTTTTTGGGAAGAGGAATCCGGAATTTGGGGGTTTCTTGGGAAGGAGGATCCGGGAATTTGGGGTTTGGGGGTTTCTTGGGAAGGGGTATCCAGGAATTTGGGGATTTCTCGGGAGTGGGAATCCTGGAATTTTGAGGTTTCGGGGTTTAGGAGAGGGAAAACCTTGGCGAGGGGGGAAATGGGGATTTTTTTTTTTCCAAGGAAAAGCGGCGGTGGGGATTTTACACCAGAATTCCAAAGGCTTCATTCCCAAAAAATAAAGGCGCAGATCCCAAAAGAATCTTGCAAATATTCCCCAAGAAATCCATTTATTGTTTTTATTCCAGAGTCTTTTTCCTGCACGAACGCACTAAAAAGCTGAATTTTCCCAAGAAATAAATGGAAATATTGCCTTTATTCCCGTTTCTTTTTTCGGTTTTGCTCACTCCCTTTATCCCAGGTTGGTTTTTTTTTTTTAACCAGGAGAAAATTCCCTTGCTGGAGAGGAGGGGAATTTGCGGCGATAAATTTGGGATAGTTCACGGGAATTTGGGATCGGTTTGGAATTTTGGGGGTCATTCTGGGATTTTTGGGGATCAGCTTGGAGCGTTTCCCTGGGCTGGCGCCGCAGCATTTTCCAAGGAATGTTGCAATCCCAAGGGATGATGCAATTCCGGGATCGCGGGCCCCGAGCCCATGGAATTCCCATGGAAAACCCCTCCCCAAAATCCCAAAAAAACCAAAAAACCCCTTGGAATGGATCCCCCCGAATGAATTCCTTACTCACGGAATTATCCCGGGAGATCCCAGCAGCGCTTCCCAGGGATCGGGGCTGGCTCGGGGGTTATTCCAGGATTTCCTGGGAATGCGCC